GGGAGGAAGGCAGCAAATCACACTGCCACGTGTGTACCTATGCAACAATCTTGCACGTTCTTCACATGTACCCCAAAACCTAAAATGCAATAAAATAAATAAATGGGAAAAAAAATAAGTGTGCCAATAACTCTGTTAAGCCCTATCCTATGTAGCTGTTAGACATGCCATGCTTACAGGCACATAGTACATTCTATGTACTTGTACTTTAACCAAGATATCTGTGCTGGACATACTCACGGGCATTCCCAAGCTCTCCACTGCTTTTACCTGTTTAGAAATGTTTTAAGTTGTTAGCCAATCGGGTTTTAGTTTAGATTGTGAGGTCTGGCTCCAGCCAATGGAGATCAGACACAGCAGTAAGGACGACCCCAAATGCGTAAGGGATAAATTTGTGCGTTTTCCTTTATTCATTGTACTCTCATGGTATGATGGCTAGTGAGGGTACCCTTCCTGCAGTCCAGGAAGTAAAAATTGCATTACTGAAAGGTCCTTTGTCTCAGTGCTAATTTTCCTTTGCAGCACTGAGCATCTATTTCCAACATCTATTTCCAGCAAAATAAACTCTGACAGTTTCCCAGCCAAGCAGTGCAGCTCCTTTCTCCTTTCTTTCAAGTCCACGTGACAGGTGGCTGTACACCCACTGTCCTCAACACTTGAGCCCTTTGTAGACTCTGGTTCAATTCTCAAAAGCTTTGCTCACTCGACAAATATGAATATGCCCATTCTCCTAGGCACTGTATATTCAGCAATGACCAAGAAGTCACAGTCTCCCTGGCTATGGAGCTGAGTCACTTCCCCAGCCAGGATAACCGGCCCCACGCTGTGGGGCTGGCCAGAAGGGGAAACCCTCAGGCACTACCAGGCTGAGTGAAGGACCAAGTCACAGGCTTGCATTCAAGAAAGAGAATAAGGGCCATCGAGGTGGCTCATGCCTGTAATCCCAGTACTTTAGGAGGCCGAGGTGGGTAGATCACCTGAGGTCGGGAATTCAAGACCAGCCTGACCAATGTGGAGAAACCCTGTCTCTATTAAAAATACAAAAAACTTAGCTGGGTATGGTGGCGGGTGCCTGTAATCCCAGATACTCAGGAGGCTGAGGCAGGAGAATGCTTGAACCTGAAAGGTGGAGGTTGTGGTGAGCCAAGATCACGCCATTGCCCTCCAGCCTGGGCAACACTGGGCAACAAGAGTGAAACTCTGTCTCAAAAAAGAAAGAGACAAAAGAAAGAGAAAGAAAGGGGGGGTGGAGAGAGAGAGAGAGAGAAGGAAAGAAAGAAAAGAAAAAAGAAAGAAAGAAAGAAAAAGAAGAAAGAAAGAAAGAGAGAGAGAGAGAAAGAAAGAAAGAAAGAAAGAAAGAAAGAAAGAAAGAAAGAAAGAAAGAAAGAAAGAAAGAAAGAAAAAGAAGGAAAGAAAGAAAGAAAGAAAGAAAGAAAGAGGGAGAGAAAGAAAGAAAGAAAGGAAGGAAGGAAGGAAGGAAGGAAGGAAGGAAGGAAGGAAGGAAGGAAGGAAGGGGAGAGAGAGAAGGGAGGAGGGAGGGAAGGAGGGAGGAAAGGAAGAAGGAAAGAAACAGAATAAGAAAGATGGCATGGAAAGGGGGTCTGAGGGGAAGAGGAAGAGAGAAGGACCCCAAACCAAGTTCAGACAGGTGTGGCTGGCCAGGAGAGGAGGAGTCTTCCTTCAAGGGTGAACACTGAACGACAGCCACTAGATGCCGTATGGAGACAGTGGGGTGGGGCAGGGCTGAGCAGAGCTCCATTGCTAGGAACATGGGCCATGGCTCATGGCTGACCACCAGCCTTTATGGGACAGGAAAGGGGACTTGCACACCCTCCATCCACAAGCCAGTTACTGCACTAGGCTGGTGTCCAACTCATCCCTCAAGCCTAGCTCAACCCTGGCTGTCAATCTGGATACACGCTGAAATCATTCTAGGAGTTTAAAATAATACCAAGCCCTGGGTTCCGCTCCCAGATCATCTGATTTAATTGTTTGAGGGAGGGGTGTGTGAGCTGGGCATATGCATTTTTAAAAACTCCCAGGTGATTACCTAATACGCAGTCCAGTTTGAGAACCACTGCAATTCCTCATTTGCCTCCAGTCTCAGAATAGATACCTCTGAAAGCACCGCAGGTATAAGAAAGCAACACCACTGGAAGGAAGGCCTCCATTCCCATCTTCCTGCGAATGCCCTAATGGGAATTTAACAAGATGACCTATGTTAATTAGATATCAATTAATTGTGAGAAGAGGAGTGAAGATTTCATAAGCAATCAATCTCACCGTCATGTAATTAACTGAAATTGGTGTGAGCAGTAAGTAAATGCTCAGTGATAATGACTTTCTTATC